TAGTGGGAGGGGTGAATATAGGTGGGAAGTCAACTAGGCCTCTTGTGAGAGGCCCACTTAGAGAGCGTATCGCCCCAACAGGAGTTAGCGCCCAAAGTCTGGAGAACAGAGAGTGATAGGGATTGGTGTAGCCATTGATTAGGGGGAGGTTGGGAAAAGGACCAAGAAATGGGGAGTGAGAGATGAGAAGATGGCAGGGACATTTGAGTCTTAAGGCAATGGGGAATCAAGGGACGGCAAAGCAGAGTCATGCCATGATTTGTGTTTCTAAATGTTGCTTTGACTACTGTGTGTGAATGAATCAAAGTGAGGCAAGAGAGAAAGCAGGAAGGCCAGTTAAAAGACCACTGTGGGGTGGGGTGGGGGTGTACAGAAGACAAAGGGTGATGGCAGCTCAAGACTAGAGAATAGAGAGAAACATGAGCATGCAAGTCCATGTTTGCAGTATGAGAACACTGCCATGGTAAGTGCTTAAGAATAATAATAAAAAACTTGTGGAGGATTCCTGTGGCATAATGGTTATGAGTTGGGCTGGGATCCGAAAGGTCTGCAGTTCGAAACCACCAGCATTCAAGGTTCTCTACTCCCATAAACAGTTAGGCGGAATCTCATAAACTCATAAGAACAGTTCTACCCTGTCCTATGGGATCTCAATGAGCCAGCACAGACTCGATGGCAGTGAGTAAGTGCAGTGTATCAAGTACCAGGTGAAGAAGCCCTGCTGCCTGATACTCCCTGATCATATTCATTTTGAATCTGCTCCGTTTTCCCTCCATATTAGGGACAAGCTCCTTAAACACAGGGCTGTGCTTTTCTTGTCAGCCTCTCATGTCTGGGAAGAGCTGTTCTATATTCAGCACCCCGTGGGTGATGAATAAATATTGATTAAACAATCCAAGTAATGAATCATGTCTGCTGCAAGTGTGGGTGCTTGGTAACGTGGAGTCTTGGAAGTGAGCCGGATTCTCCAATCTACAGGGCGAGGCTGCACTGACCAGGCTGGGAGGGGGCGTGGCAGCTTTGGAGCTTTGACCCTACCCTCTCCTCTGGAGTGCCCTACAATTGAAGGTGTCATTCTAATGCTGCCTCCTATTGGGGGGATAGAGATTCCTTACACACATCCAAAGAAGCTTGACCTGCTATTCGAGGATTAACCCATGGAACAGGGCAAGGGGACACGAGCCATGGATGGAGCAGGTAACAGCAGAGAGAACTTACAGCAGAGGTTTGCTTTAAATGCTGTCAGCCAAGGAAAACATCTAATGTAGCTGTACTCAATAGTAGGAGTCAGAAATCTTTTACTGTAAAGGGCCAGGTAGGAACTATTTTAGGTTGTGTGAGTCATGTGTCTCAGTTCTATACATAGGTCATATGTTCTATACCTTTGCCACCACACATCTGGGCATCACTGTGTTCCAGCAACCCTTTAATTACAGATCCTGAAATATGGATTTCATATTTTTCACATATCACAAATATCCTCCCTTTTAACAACTATTCAAAATTGTCAAGGTCATTCTTGGCTCATAGGCCATGCTACAGCAGGCACCAGGCTACCCTTGGGCAATAGCGAGAACAATTTTCATGAACGTAACTAGCAAATTTCAAGGTAATACTATTCAATACGATATCATTATTTGTCAGTAACTTAATGATATTGAAATTGAGCCTCTTGGATGACAGGACACTTCTTGAACATAGAGATTGTTGTTTGGGTAGCCGCTGCTGGGTTGGACCCCCCTCCTTCCAGGATTAGGATTTATAATATATATTTGGGGGTGGGGATACAATGTAAGCCATAACACAGTAAAAATTCATGGTTTCTCCTTTAGGAAATCTATTAGGAGCCTTAGGCAGATAGCAATCATTAGGGAAACACTGCCTTGTTCAATGAAGCATAATTGATGGCAGGAGGCAGCACCCCCCCCCCCCAAAAGTAAATCAATTGGTTACGAAGTGGGAAGTTCCAGGAGTGTTTCAAGAAAGGAAAGTGGGGTCTGTGAATATAATCCCTAGTATTAGGTGGCGCAGTGGGCTCCACATCAAGCTGCCAAGCACATGGTCAGTGGTTCAAACCAATCAGTGGCTTCAAGGGAGAAAGATGAGCCTGTCTTACTTATTTTTTTCCCTGAGTTTTCTCCAAAAAAGGCAATTTTCATTAGAACAAGATAATTTCTGCCCACTGACTGTTGACTCTGCATTGAGCTGCTCCCCACAAATCTCCAGCTACTCTGCAGGAGAAAGAGAAGGCTTTCTGCTCTCGTAAAAGAATGCCCATCTCAGGAACCCACCTGGGGCAGATGTAGCCTGTCCTGAAGGGTAGCTTTAAGTGAAAATCAACTGGATGGCAAGGAGAGAGCGAGACACGAGGATGCGGATATATTCTTATTTGTTAAATAAATAGAGGCTAATAATAATTATAAGTGTGTTATAACATTCCAGAGAGGCATTTGGGGACTGTGCAAGTACTTCATTGTAGTTGGGATTAAAGTAAGGTGACCAGATGTTAACATTGGTAAAGCGGGACAAAAGCGGGACACCATTGCTAAAAGTCATATCCTGGCGAAATAGCCACATGGCAGCCAAAAGCCGTATACCCTAGCTTGTCGTGCATTCTTTCAAAAAATCGGGACTTTTTAAAAATGCCACAGGACATGGGAAAAGTTGTTAAAAATCAGGACTGTCCCGCTAAAAGTGGGACGTCTGGTCACCTTAGATTAAAGTTGACTGTCTGTGGTGGAAGGGAGCCACGAAGAGGAGGAAACACACCTGTGAGAGATCAACAGGAGGTGTAGTCAAGCCCCAAGGGTCTCGGGGCCACACTAAGTTGTTAGTATTGCACCCTGAAGGCAATGGTGAGCTACAAGGGCTTGAAGCAGGCAGATGGATAAAAAGACTTCTGTGGATTTACTGGAAGGTTCATGAGGGTGAAATAAATGTTAGGTTAGGTATTCTGTTTATATCACCACCTGTCAGTTTGTCATTCACTGGTGGCTTACATTTGCTTTAGTGCAAGAAGCTTTGTCACCAGTATTTCAAATACCAGTAGGGTCACTTACGGAGCGCAGGTTGCAGAAGAGCTCCCAATGTAAAGCAGACTAGAAAAAGAGGATGAGTCATCTACTTGCAAAATTTTGCCAATGAAAACTCAATGGATCACAACAGAATTTTGTCTCATCTAGGGCAGGAAAGTGAACCCTGAAGTTTGGAAGGTATCATGAGAGCCACAATAATGAGCTCAAGCGCGCTAATGCACCATGAAGGTGGCACAGGGCTGGGCACTGTTCCACTGTTGCACATGAGTTCACTGGGTGCTGGAACCAACTTACTGGCAATCACAGCTATAATCATGACACCAAAGATATCACAGTCAAATAATAGTCATGGACAGTTTCTAACTCAAATGAACACTGAAGGTTGCTAAAGGATGAATCGATTGTAATGCAAACGTACATCCTCTCTAGTCTTCTTCACTCTGCAGTTGAGCTGGAGAGCCTTTGGGTAGTTTTAGGGACATTTCTATATAACAGAGCTAGAAGGAAAGGCATCTCAAATTTCAGGCTTGTTTGGGTATCTGATAGAAAGTGGCTACACATCAAGGTTTGTCTTCAACCTTACAAACAATAATAAGGATATGGAAATTTTTTTTTTAATATGCTTCAAGTATGTTCTCCCAGTTTAAGCCCTGGTGGCCTGATTTAACCAAACACCACGTGAATTAAGCTCCCCTCCAACTGGCTAAAGAGGTGCTATTTTTTAAAATATCCAAGCCAATCAAAACAAAACCAGAACAGAGCAAAAGTTTCACTTTTCCTACCTCAAATTTGTCTCCTTTCTTTAATTGTTTGGTAGACTGGGGATAGAGAGATAAAGAACAACATACATGACCATACACCTTCTTCTTAATTACAATACCAAAGAAGGTGGTAAAGCAACTATTCAGAATGCTGAGACTAGATCTTCCTCAAAGGTAAGCAGGAGGCCGGGGAAGCAACCTCTGAGGCTGTTTGGAAAGTAAGTTCAGAAGCTTCAGCGGACAAGCCTGTTCCCAGGGTTGTCATGGAGCTGCCTTTTATCTGCTGCAGGTGTTGATGCTTGTGACATCCGAAACTACCTGTCATTTAGGGTGATAAACAGGAGAGGCTACCAGTTGTCCACTGAGATGATGGCACAGGGAGATATTCGTCATTTATATATGTTTACAATGACCTCAAATTCCTATTTAATCGGATACATGGAAGCTCACAATTGATAGTTTTATTATGTGTTTTGAAAACGAATTTCCTTTTTAATGATTCCCTTTACCACCATCCAGCGATATCCTCTGTGGTTACAAGCACTATACTAAAGAATATACACCCAAGCTGCTAAACTGTTCCATGGAGATGGGCATCGCGACCTATGCCCCTCTGCTATCAATACCACCTTGTGCCCTCTGCCATCGATTCTGCTTCATACTGACCCAACAGGACGGAGTCGAACTGCCCATAGGGTTTAATGTTGTCCTCCTTATGGGAGATCGCCACATAGTTCTCCTGGGAAGGGGCTGGTGGGTTCCAACAGCAGACCGTGGGTTAGCAGTCAAGTGCGTTAGCCATTACATCAACAGGACTCCTCCCAACATCTCCATATCCGTGGACTCTTAAGAATGTGGATGCCTTTAAGAATTGCATCTTTTGTGCCAATAGATCCTCACACTGGGGCCATCTGGTTTTAGTTGCTTGGAAACTTTTAATTTCGATGCTTTGCGTGGGAACCCATCTATTCCAGAATATGAGTGTGCTCCATAAGGGTGGCTAGAATCTTTGCCGAAGCAGAATGCCAAGGCCTCATGTCCAAGTGGCACCCGAGTCACTGAGCCGCTGACCCATCTAACGTTCGCAAGCCCTTGGGTATTCTCTCTTGCTGATGTGACGACGACAGTAAAGTGACAAGGGCAGATAGCAACCCAGTTCTGGAGCATCTTGAACAACCTTCTAGTTCGAACAGGGGATACTTACTGAGAAATCGTCACTGGGGAAGAACAGGAGATCGCGAAGAGGATCGTTCCCATAGGCCTTCTCAAGTTCTCCAATGACCGTTTCATAGTCCAAGGGCTCCAGGAGCCTCGGCTTTTCCTGCTGTAGGAAAAGAAAGTGAGTTATGGCTCCATACTCAGATGAGGGACTGCCAAAAGAACACACATCCATCTTAGATAAAGTACAGCCAGAATGCACCCTGGAGGCAAGGGCGGCAAGGCTCTGGCTCCTGAAATTTGGACCAGGAGAGCCCAGACCCTGGAGAAGGACATCGTGCTTGGTAAAGTGGAGGGGCAGCGAAACAGGAAGGCTCTCTGCAAGGCAGACTGACACAGCGGCTGCAACCACGGGCTCAAGCATGAGAACACCTGTGAAGATGGTGCAGGACTGGGGGTGTTTTGTTCTGTTGTACAGAGGGTCACTATGGGTCAGAACCGACTCGATGGCACCTGGCAATAACAACAATTCATATAGTCTTATATTTTTTCAGCACTGTGTTGGACTTTATTTCTTTCCACCAACCAGACTTTGACATTGCCCAATCCCTCCAGTGGAGTCAGAGTGATGAAGCATTTAGAACAAAGCCAATCAACATTATTTACAAATCCCCTCAAATGATGGGAAGATCCCAAAATATTCAAGAGCACACCAAACACCCACAGTTCATGGTATCTTCGCCTATGGCTTTCATAGCAAAGCTATTTCTGTAGATGCTATTTTGGCAACAGGCAGAAACACCTGCTTAATGTACTGTAGTACTGTGATGACTATCATGTGTGCTGGGTCGGGCACTTCCTTCTGAAACTTACTAGGGCCAGTTTTAAAACGTTGGCATCTTGCTAACAATCTAAGTACTGTAGGCCGCCTTCCTTGTCACTAAAGCATGGATCCCGTGCCAGGATTAATTACTTGGCTCTTAGCCTCCTTGCTGCTATGGAGAGAAGCTAAATAATTCTCTACTCAAACTGAACAGCACAACTATTATGGATTCAGTGCAGTGAAAATGGAGAAGAGTTGAAGAAAAAAATAGCCAGATAGTACATTGCATTGAAAGTCTGAAGTCACGAGAAAAGGCAGCCCCCTCCCCAACCCCATCGAAGAAGTTGGACCATGGAGTCAAAGAAACAAATTCCGGTGGGAGAAGGTATGAATGCTTCATTATAGGGTTGATGTGTTCGCTTCAAACCAGATGGTATTTGCAAGTTGAGAAAAATTGACTCCCAAATCAAGAATACCAAATGCTTCCTTAAATGTTATTTCCCTGGGTTAATTTTGAGCTCCTGGTAACTTGAGTGAACTCACTGCCATCGAGCCAATTTTAACTCATAGTGGCCATAAAAGTTGGAAGCCAAAGTGATCGCTCAGTTGGAATCTATGCATTGGCTCTGGGTTTTGCTTCATTTTTCTTATCAACGACTTTACCAAATGCTGCCCACCAGCCTCTCTGCTTGCCAGGCCTCAGCACCCTGGAAAATACAGATGGTGCTGCAATTGCTAGGCCTTCTTGGTAAAGTAAGGTCCCAAGGGCTTTCAGTGAAACTTGAATCATGGCTAAAACTCCTCCAAGTGCCAGTCAAGGTTTATTTGGAGGATTTCCAATATATCTATATCTATCTATCAATCTTTCAGTAATATTTCAGAAAGAAGCACAGAATATAAATACACTGTCATAAGAACAAGCATCTCCATACAGTTTCTGCACTGGGAGAGATGGTGGTGGTGGAAAGCCACCCATTTCATGAATACTTAAGTAGTAAACTAAGCACATGTAGGTGACTATTAAAGGGACCCTTCTAGGTAGGTTGTTCGATTTGCTGTTGTTGTTAGGTGCCATCGAATCAGTTAGATTTCACAAATAAAAAAATGTAGGCAGATTCCCATGCAGTCATTGGGATGCACTTCTACCAAAAAGTTATCTTTTGTTTATCTGAAACTCAAATTTCAGCGTGGGTTCTGTATTTCATCTGGCAATTCTAGTGCTTGGACATCTGGGCCAGATAGTTCATCTTGCAGTTAAGGAAATAGGAATAGAAACCATAAATTGAATTTCCCAGCATAATCCATTTAGTGGAACACTTGATATTTGATAGCAGGGCACTCTGATAAGACTTTGAGAGTTGAAAACAAAACAAAAGCTACCCTTCTAAGATACTTCCCTTTTAAAAAGGCTATGTTTTATAAGCATGGGATTTATCAAATTTTCAAAATAGGCCTGGGCTGGGTGCCTACATTAAGCCCTGGAGGGGTAGTGGTTAGGAGTTGGGCTGTGAGCCGCAGAGTCGGCAGTTCAAAACCACCAATAGCTCCATGGGAGAAAGGGTGGACTTTCTACTCCCTTAAAAAGTCACAGTTTTGAAAACCCACAGGGCGTTGACATGAGTCGGCATTGACTCAATGGCAGTGAGTTTGTTTTTTATAAACTTCCAGGTAGGTGGTGATGACGTTGCTGGTCCAGGAACCACATGGGAAGTAGCAAGGATGCAGAATCCAAGCTTTCTATACTGCACAGCTACTTATCCTGCTTCTGAGGTTGAAAACTGACCAGTGAGGATAATTCAGGTTATACAACCTTGACGCCAAACTTCACTGAACAGAGCAGTGGAATCCTCGCCTTCTGACGCCATCAGTTCCGTAGACACTCAAGACCCACAGCCTTATTCCCACGCAAAATTAACTCCAACACTCACACATTGTTAGCCCAAAGGCAAATTCAGGCTTGAGATGTGTTTGGCTTTCACAAGGACATCTACTTTACTTTACTTTAAATTGGAATGAAAAGTCCTTATGTAGTACAAATGCTATCTAGTCCAGCGGCAAGCCTCCCTCAGCAGTGGTTTTCTATACCCTTGAACTCTACAAAGGCACATGCTTATACCACTAACTTGCCTCTAAACGCCTTTGAGCCTCAAACCTCTGCCTTCTCCTGAAGCTTCTTCTATTCTTCTGTTGTGAGGGTGTGTCTGACATGCAGCAAAAGACATAAAGATGTAGGAAAGCGTCTAGGGTCTGGTACTTCCTGTCTTTTGAAATTTTCTTTGTCATCTATCCTACACTTGGACATCAATAAGCTTGTTGGTGGCAAGCAGAATCTTCTAGACCTTTTATTGGGGGCCCAAACAGTACCTTAAAGTAATTGTACAAAATCAGTAAAATAAAACAAATCAGAGTGCATACGTTACAGACTATTAATAACAACACAAATAAATTAAATCCAAACTTTTCCTTGATATACCTGGTAAAAGGCACAACCTGACAACATTTGTTGGGAGACATATTTTTATGTATTTCTATCAAGCTAAAATATATGACTCAATCAATGGATGACACTTACTAAGCCTTTCTTAATGTTTAAAATGACACAAAGAGGAAGTGTTGATATGGGGTGACATAGCCTAGCAGATATGTGTCATATAATGGATTACTTTTTTGCCATTGAGGGAATATCTTAATAAGGCTCTATCTTTCCAGGGAATCTATTAATCAAGCTATTGCTTTTAAGATAGTCAGTGTGCCATCATTTTGTGGTTATGAAGTGTATAAATAAAAATACCAGTGATCTATCGCGTAGTATTAAGTTCCTGGGATTTGGAAAAAAAACCCAGGGATAATTTTTGCATCTGTGGTGGGGCTAACCCAAGTCATACAACCAGGAATTTTCTCTGGAGCACGGGAGTTGTCTGCTCAGTGTTTGGGGAATGAGGCAGATCTGTGCAAGGATGGTGGGATCCATTAGTTTCTCACGACTGCTCCTTGAGGAGCTCTTGAGTGAAACAGGGAACTGAGCAGCATTGATTTACAGCTTCAACAACAGCTGGGTTGTCCCTCCTGAATTTAATGTGTCTGTTTCTCTTGGAAATGCACCAACTGGGATGAGGCATGTGCCAAGATTACCCTGAATTGGACGGAATTTTCATAGGGCTTTTGTTACTCTTACTCTCTCTCCAATGAATAATGAATTTCATTAGCTATTCTTGAAACCCTCCATGCCTGGGAAAAGCCCCCCCCC